GGGGGGCCGGGTCACCCGCCCGTGCGAGTGCTCGCCTGCCCCCCCGGGTCCCAGCGCCGACCCCTCTAGGGGGGGAGGGGCTGCACCGCCCCCCCGCAGTGGGGGGGGCTCTGCAGGAGACACACACATATATACACACACACGCACATATATATAAAATATGTGTGTGTGTATATATATATATACACACACGTACACATATATGTATACACTGCCCCTCCCCCCCGCTGTGTCAGGCGTGGGGGGATGCGCTGGCACGCGAGAGGCCGAGGTGAGGCGAGACGCGGTGGGTTTCCTCGGATCAGCTGGGGAGCGAGGGAGAGAGTTGGGGGCTCATGGAGGTCCAGGAGCGAAGCTGCGCCGGGCGCTGTCCTTGTCCTGGGTGGCCGGGATGGAGGCGCGGGTGCCAACCATCCCTGTGGGGCGGGAGGGTGGAGCAGGGGCTGCGTCGTATTGGGGACCTGCCTGCCAAGGAGGAAGGGGTCGGCTGTTGCATGTCCCGAGCGTGGAACCGCTCGTTTTGGAGCAGCCGCCTTTCCTCATGGGCTGGCCGTGGTGTGGTCAAGGGCGTGGTCCCTTGACCGTGGTGCGGTCAAGGGTGGGAAACTTAATGAACGGTGGGCTCGGCAGTTGTGTGCTCTGGGTTTGCTGCTCGATGTCTTACCCCCACTGACTTTGTGGCTGAGGGAGTCGGCGAGGAGCTGATTGGGGATGGCTGTGGCCTGTCAGGGTTGTTTAAAAAGGAGAGTGAAGACCTGGCCGACTTCTGTTGTTGAGACGACTAGAGTAAGGTGTCCTGTGGGTTCTTGCTTCTCCTCGCAGGGAGAGGAGAGGAGCAGGAGCTTGGTGATTTTCATAATTGGCAGGCTGATGGTTTAACTTTTGCTTCCCCTGGGGTGTGGATTGCCTTCCTAGAGCTGAGGGTGGCAAGTTAGTGTGCGATGTTTCTTTAATCCTCGCTGAGACTGACGCCGCATCTATTGCAAGTAAGAGGCTTGGAGGTAAACTTTTGCTTCATCTGTTGCTCACCTCCTGCCTCAAAACCTCCCTTAAAAACGCCTAACCCCACCTGGCAGAGGGGGGATGAGAGTCCTTACAAGTATCTTAAAGATGGTTTCATTTGGTGTTCCCAAAGCTCAAGTAGGAATGAGTCAAAACTGATATCTGGCAGTGTGTTAAAAGGTGTAGTTTATACCGTTGCCACTAACTGGATTTCCTTTCTGAGTGTCCATACAGAGCAGTACCCATCACAAGGAATAACGGCTGAATTTCTGAACAGTGATTTCTTGAAAGAAACACCCCTATGTGTGGGTACTTTCTATGGTGCACTGAAACTGAAGTAGGAGTAGTAATCTCTACTGAGGTTTTTGATCATAATCTGACCTTTAAACTCTGACATTTATAAATTGGGGTTGTTGTTTTTTTAAAAACATTTAAATCAGTCTCCTCTCCCAAGTTCTGACTTCATGAACAAATTAAGTAATTGTGGATTACACACTAAATCTCCAGACCAAGGTCTTCCTAGTTCTTCCTCCTTTCTCTTCAATTTGATTTTTGATTTATTTTTTCTTTTTGTCCAAAAGTGCTGACTACAAGTCATTCCCACTGAACTTAATAATGCTGCAGATGCTCACTTACTGAATGCAGCTTAAAAACACAACTTCTGTGCATTTCTCTTATCCCTTCCTGGCAAGTGTCCTAGAGGGCAACAAGCTCGAGCTCCCTGAAAGGGCAAAGAGGATTCCCAAGTTCTGTCTGCAGAGCTCAGCACCTGCTGAAGTTTGAGATTAAAAATATTTTCCATCTTTTTTAGATGTATTTTAACACTCTTAATGGGCTGCACATGTAAGCACTGTAATTGAAAGCATCCATTTATGGGCCTGACTTGCTAAGTGAGCTGTAAATTCTGCTTTTCAAATTGGATTTAATGACTTTTATCATAAAGCCGCAAACTGCTTGTGAACTGTGCTGAAAGGCAAACAATACCTAAGCTTACTTTGCCAAAATATTTGTAATTGTTGATTTGTTAAACTGCATTGCTGCAGGTCATGGGATGGGATTAGTTTTTGTAGTAGAACAGAGTGTACAGGCAGTCCTGCGTTCAGTACTATCTGGGCTAGAAGAAATGAGTGAGTGCAGGCAGTCTTTCTGAACTCTGTTTTCGACTTCCAGCAGGCTTTGTGAAGCGTCCCTGGAGAGTGCTCTATAAAGGCTAAGATTACACTTCTTCTGGTATGTTTTGTTATGGGTAAGGTACTCTGAAGTAATGAGGGGATATGGAGGGAAGTGGCTTCTTAATTTTCAAGCAGCTGAGACTGGAACTATTAGTTCAGATCAGACCAGGAAACATCTCCCAGATGATTAAAGACTCAGTTGCTTCAGGACAGGGTGGGAGGGAACCTTTTATGTTAGTACAGAAACCTTGATTTGTACAATTCTGTTGCTTTATCTTGTTGGAAGGGTTTTTGGTTGACCAATATGAAGAATCAGTCAGTCATCTGTTTGTATTGGACCTTCTTGAAGTGGGACTTAACCCTGTGTGCTAGTTGTGAAATCCACAGCCCTCTTGCTTAATGTAGAGCGCTTGGAGTGAAGAAAAAGCTGACAAGTGATGTGGATCAAACAGAAGTTGGTATCTGTTAAATGTTTTTTTTTCTGTAGCAAACTTGCACAGGAACATGATATGTTTAAGTAATCAGACTTCCACCTAAATGGAGTGCACACAATTTTTTCCATACATGAGGGGCAGTTATAGGAAACTGTCATGCCTTGAAATATTAACAAACCGCTTTCGGTAAGACACCTCTTCCAGGCTAACGAGTGTAACGCAACCAAGTTCTGATGAGGTTGTTTGGAATACAGAGAGCATGTGGTGAGTAATCAGTCACTTCATCTGGTTTTTGGCAAAGTAGAGTAGACTCTTTTGTAACGTTAGCTGGATTGCTAACATACTTCAGCCCTAATAGTGATTTAAGATGAAGATCAGTAAAAGTAAACCCTGGACCTCTTTCCTGTCTATAGTTAAATTATATAGTTATAGCAAAGCATGAATGTGAACATTTCTAAAACTCTTAAGTTTCTTTATAGCAACAAAGAAATAATTAGGCATGTTTCTAATTTTGTAATAAACTTCATAATTGAAGAAAAGTATCTGGCACCCACAACTTTTCTAACTGCAGTTTTGAGTTTCAAGTCTTACTTCTAGAATTAAGGCATTCAGATTTTTCTTGTTTTTTTTAAACTCTGTGACCTGTGAGAACAAAAATGAAACAGTATTCTTTATTTTTTTTCCCCTTTTCACTGTTCTTTACTTTTTTTAAAGAATTGTTAAGGGCTTTGTAAAAATATGTCCATCATTATGCCTAGACCATTTTTCTGTTGCTCACATTTCATCTTATGATTACAGAACGGGTTAAATGTACTGTAGCAGCAGAGCTCGGTCTGACTTGCAGTATTTTTATTGGTCTACAATGGTAGGCCATGGAGACCCTGCTGGGGTCAGTGCCAGGAGTGCTGATGACCAGCATGTCCTGCCTACTTCCTCCTACGTAGCACATACCAAAGCCAGTTCAGCAACACGCTGAAGGCATGCCTGAGTGTCATGCTGGTTTGGCCTTACTCATGGTTTTTGGGGCTCCTGTGGCCACTGGGTGGGTCAGGCATAGCTCTCAGCAGCACACTGAGGCTCACCAGGGAGGCATTATAGACATAGCCTTAGTTTCAAAATAACCAATTTGCTTAGTAGCCATGTGCACAACCAGATCAAACAGAAATGGGATCGTGCTTACAAGGAAGATGGAGCAAACTCCTCTAGGCTTTGAAAGGAGCTGTTGTACACATGCAGTATCCTTTAACTAGATAATGTCCGATATTTTGGAAGGTATCTAAGTATATAGATCAGTGAGGGGTGACTGTTTTGGCAGGCGTGTCACAGATTAGTCCTGCACCTTCCCGAAGTACCATTCAAATCCTTTTCCTTTACTTGATCTGGTACTTGTATTTCTGCTTCCTGACCAAGCTGCTGCTCTGCTTCCTGCTCCTTGCCTGATCTGATGCTCTTCTTTCTGCTCCCAGCCCAACTGTGCTGCCTGACCCCTTCCCATTTTGCTGTGTACCAAAGCGAGAAGTTGTCTGTGCCAGAAGGCACCCCTGCTTGAGTTTGGCCACCCCTGGTGTAGGTGAAAAATACATAAGTGACTGTAAACCTATTTAAACATAACTACAAACTGGCAGAAGTACAAAATCACAACTCTTGAACTTGCTTTCAAGTAACTCTTTTAAGTAAGAGAGGTTTGCCTTGAGCTTCCTCAGCTAAGTGGGGCCTTGCCTGGGAGTTTTTGGCCTACTAGTTAGCCAGATGGCATTTTTGGCTGGTTAATTCACCAGATGGCACTCATTGGGAGGGGGGCAGTTTTAGAGCCACTTCCCACTGCTGGCCTAATTGGCTGAAGAGCTGAACTGGAGGTAGAACAGAGGCCATTGCCCAGCAGGCTAGCATGCTCCTAGCAGTGTGAAGAGAAAGGTCTAAAGCTGCTCCACTTGCACAAGACAAATGGAGAATGAGCTTTTGCTACATCTGCCTCACATGCTGCAGCATAAAAAAGAGGCAGTGTGTCCTTCTCCCAGATCCCAGAGGCAAAGTGCTTTAATATGTCCCAGTGGAGAAAGGAGGAAGTGGGCATGCCACAATTTTATGTCCTTGAAAATGTCCATTTTTGTCTCAGCTGGGGCACCACCATCTTTCACAGGTGCTGTGGCATGGGTGCTATCATGGCCAGGCAAAAGTGCCCTATGTGCTTCATGCACAACCAGACTGGGAAGGGCTGTCGCATGAGTGTGTACTCGTGGATTGGGGTTATCTGATAAACCCAAAGCAGGCAGTTAAGTTGGGCCTGCTGCTCATGCTTCAGCCCTTCCTGGTCCATCTTTACTATGCATTTCCTGGGAGCAGGCATGCAGAACAGTTCTGTCATATTCACCTCTGCTTCTGGGAGACACCGACTGGGGTTAGACCAGAAAGAGCTGTGGCAAAAATGGGTGTTCCTAGCTGCTTTAGGCTTATCCACAAATTTTAGCTCAGGAGTAAGAATAACTGGGGCAAGCTGAAGAACCAAAAGAGTGGTTCTCACCTGGTGCTGCTACCAGATTAAAAAAAGTTGTGGAGGATGCTTTAAATCTAAAAGGGTTGAGAACCACTGTCCCACAGTTAGGAGGGCAATTCATAGAGGTGAATTGTTTGGCTCGAGGCTTGAATTTGACTGCTTTGGCTATCCAGTTAATGAGATCTCTGTTCCCACCATATAATGGAAATTAAAGGAGCATCTTCAATTGGCCTGTAGAAGAAAAATCAGAATTTTGCAAAGATCCCTAAAATTGTGGAAATATTCTGAAAGAGATTTTTGTTAATACAACTTAATATCCTTCTCTGTTTCGGGTAAAAGCCTGGCTCAAAGAATTTGAAAATGGGTCATCAGTTATCATCTTGATTTTTTTTTTTTTTTGTTCAAAATGAGCTGAAGTTAATCAGATTTATTGTGGCTTACTTTGTAAACATTTCAATATTCATGCAATACTGAAAAAGAAACTTGAACAATATCACTTGACTTGTGTTGTTGTTTTTTTTTAATACTCAGCTTTCAGCATGTTGGCTAACTGCCTTGTAGAAACTGTCTTGAATATAATCAGGTCTAATTTAAATTTGTTGCATTACACTAAAATAATGAACAAAAATCCCCTACACGGGGACAGGGAGTAGTTCCCTCTTTTGTCAATGGAAAGTAACATAGAACTCAAAGCCTGCTTCTAACATCAGAAAGGGAAGCTTTATCTGTTCTGGAATTTGATTGAATGACTAGAAAACTGTTGGTCCTATGACCTCACAGGATACAAAACAACGTAGAAAGAAATGTAGCTTCTTGCCTTTGTAAAAACGAGTCTTCAGAGATCCTCTTTCCTCAAGAGCTTGATACCTTTGTCTCTTGTATATGGTGAATATTCACAAATAGAGTTACTTAAAACCCAGGAAACTTTGGCTACTTCTCCAGGTGCTAGGGGCAGAACATGTGATGAAAATTGTGCTTAAAACTGGTGGCTGAATCCTTCCTTTCTGCTGACAGTAACACCAGCTTCTGCCTCCATGGCAGCCAAAAGCGTGCCTGTGGATGCGTCTGTGTGCTACCTGCTGTAGCCTCCTTAATAGTTGTTCAGGTATGTCTAAGGCTGCCATGCATGTTATCCTGGCATTGCTGTTGTATGGTACCATGTAGAGCTGCCAGGTGTGTGTGCTTTCTGGTGACTTCTAGGGACGTAAAAGGTAAAAACAACAATTATATTTATACTGTTTAACATTTACCTCTTGGATCAGTGCTGCCTGCTGTTGGGGTAGTGACTGCAGCAGGGGCTGCTTGGGAGGAGGCACAGATCTGGGCTGTGGCATCGTGTGGCTGCTGCGGCAGGGAGGTAACTAGCGGTTCCCTGGGTGGGGAATGAAGCTGGGCAAAGTTCTGTGGTGGAGCTGGCAAGGCTTGAATAGGAGTGAGTGCAGTAGCAGGGCTGCCATCAGGTGCTACAGGGGTGAGCTGCACAGAGCCAGCCCCCTCCCCATAGCACCCACTGGGGCTCCCGCCTGCTGCAACAGCTGTGCCCCTGTGTGTGCTATGAAGGGAGGTGGCTGTCTCCATGCAGCACCCGACGGAAGCCCCATTGCTGCGTTCACTCCTGCTTAAGACCTGCTGGCTCTGTTGTGCAGCTTGCCCAGCTCTGCTTCCCCAGGTAACCACTGATTACCTCCCTGTTGCAACTGCTGCACAGTGCTGCAGCCCAGATCTGTGCCCACCTCCCGGGCAACCCCTGCCAGACCTGCTCCCTCAACAGCAAGCAGCTCTGAATTGGGACCCTGCCAGAGCTTGTTGTCCTGTGCTGCTGCTGTGCCACTACCTGCCTGCTTCCGCACATTCACCGCGCAGAGTCTGCTGTGATCACAGGCTTCAGTCCCAGCTGGTGATGAAACTTGCCACAATCCCACACTCTGCTCAGCTCCCTGCACCGCCCTGCCCCTCTGCCATGGGACCATTTAACTCCCAGAGGAGGTTAAATGGGTAATTTTCTAAATGATATTTACATCCCTAGTGGCTTCCAGGCATTGGCTGCTTCCTATCAGTAAAAATGCTTTTATGTAGGCAGGCCCCCAGTCTTCTAGTAACTAGAGAAGATCAGTTTTTGTTAATGTTCAC